AGACATTTTCGCTGAGAACACGCAAAATAAAAATGTATCATTCCTTTGGAAAGCGAACATTTTTTACGCAGAGATTTACCCAAACCGTTCAAACGGAGAAGCTAATTTTAATGAACAATAACGCCTCACTTTCCAAATTTCTTCAGGCATAAAATTCGTAATAAACTTTTGTGCCCACAAAAAAGTGCGTATGGTGTTCGGGTACTGCAATAAAAATGCACCTAGACTGCGGAGTCTCGAGCATTCCATTCACTCAATTTTCAACACGCCTCCGTCCACAGAAAACATTCCAATCGGCGGTGAATAGACAAGACAGAGAAATAAACCAACATACTCAGTATCCCCCTTTCGTACTAGAACTCCGTTTACCGTGTCATTCAATCCAAAGGACCTACATAACATTCATACAATATTCCGATTGAGGAAACAAGGCTAAGTGTGTGATTCAAAATTTTCTATTTGGGCCTTCGATTCTTCACGAATTGACGACTCATCTAAGCTTACACGCCTCAGAAAGCCAGTAAAATACCGGAACAGGCTTTTTTCTAATTAACGAAAAAAACAGTAAATGTTACCTTCAATACCACACCAACTGCGTTTTTTTTTACCCTGTCAACGTACGTGTTAACCAGTCAACATTTTACCTCGAGCTTCAAGAGTTTTATTGTACAATATTTCGTCCATCCATGGATAACCTGCCATGACGGAATGAGTGCCCAGTGGAATAATAACCCACGGTTCCGGGGAATGGCTTCCAGTAGTTTTGCGTCGCGGCCCAGCACCATACGGCAGGGTCGTGAGACACGGTGAACGCCAAAGCGATTTCCAGCGTGATTCATTGGGACTGGGACCAGACAGCGCGTCGACGGCCGTCTGAGACCAACCCAAAACAAACCCAGCTGCCCACGGCTTAATCCACCACTTAGCCTTCCCCACTAATCCCGCACGCGGATTACGATCATAACGTGAGCTGGAAGGACTGATATATGGCAGATTACGTTTTGGATATTTGCTAATGGACAGTATTTAAAACATTGCTGGGCATTTCGAGAAGGCTTCGAGGCATCGAACTTGATTTCCTAATCTGCATCAACGTGGCAGTTTTGAGACATCGGTTACTATCGTCAGTCAAGAGAATTGAGTTCATTTCTTGCGCATTACGAAATTACAATCAACTCTTTCGCACCCGGATGCGGGAATATTCAGGATAACTTCAAACACGACTAAATTATGCATCCAGCAATTCGAAAGACAAGAACTTTTTCTCATCACTTCGTCACGAAACCCATGTTGCGATTTCTGTCAGACACACTCGCGTTCGGGAGTGCTTTTTCGAAAGTAACAAATTTGGATACGACGAAAATAGTCCCAGCTCGAGAAATGAGCATATTCCTCGCGCATTGCGAAATTATAAGTCTACAGCAGCCAGATGCGGAATCAATTAGGATATTTTCAAAAATGACTGAAGTATGCACGAATAAAATTTTCCCCACCACTTCGTCACGGAACCCAGGTCGCAATTTCGGTCAGTTATAGTTAGGTCGAAGAGCGCTTTTTCCCAAAACTGAAAATTTGGATCTGCTAAAAAGATAACTTATTAAAATTCGAAGTTCATCTGTTAGGTAACCTACTTCACCCTCTCCCAAGCCCTTGGTTGCAAATTTTCGTAACAAGCTCAAGATCATTGAATTTATCATGCAGTGATTGAAAAAAGCGGCCGGTGTCAATAAAGTATAAATTTTACAAACCGAATAAACGTCGATTTGAGTTAGTACAAATTTATTGACCCATCCAAATGAATCGGAAATATAAAAAACATGCTACAGAGATGGAAGACACACCCAGAAATGGGATGGTACATGAATAAACGAGGTCGAGTCAAATACAATTTTATTTAAAATATATATACAGTACTGTATACGGTATGTACATGCGACGGGGTCGGCAGAAACCCGGAGTAGTTTTTGAATTAAAACCTTACAAGCTCTGAATCTACCGTTAAGTACAGTATTCAACAATCCCAGCCTTCATGTCGCCACTTCAAAAGTTGAGTGACGGGAGGTATCTTGCCCAGGTTGGAACCAAGTTCGACTATTGTGTGTTTCGCCCCGTGGACTCCAACTTAGACAGAAAGTTTACATGTTTTGAATACTTCCTAACTCTGCTATTCGTAGTCGGACATTTTTTCTCCTCGTCGTGAAATTGTTCAGAGCTGCTTCGAGTGGATCGCGCTCAACTCCATTGTGAACCCGTCAGCCTTCACAGTTTGACTCAATGCACTCGAGCAAGAGATGCTCACGACTAGCAAACTAATTCTTGCATGCTGTTTTCGCATATAGGAACTTTTGCTAATTTTGCCTAATTAGAACAGCAATGCAAGGGTTCTTCCGCAATTACTAGGTCCAATGCCGGCTTTTACCATTCTTTTAAAGGGCAACCTAAAGCTTTGCAATTAAAACCCTAACCAACATCGTTATTCAGCTAAATATACTATGCACTTTATTTTAACCTATAATATTGCCCAGTACTGACTTGCAGCTCTTTTGGACATTATCCTCTTCACTAAAAAGGCACGATATCGAAACCTTGAATTTTTAGAACATTAAAACTGCTCTTGACATTTCTACGCAATCAATTGGATCCAAAGGTACGTTTTTTTTCTAGAATTCAAATTTCCAGCACACATAATGAAATAAATTTGAATTGTACCTCAACGTTCAAGAGAGTACGTCAGATTGCTGTACTGTATTTTGAAGCTCCTCTCGTCAAATTTTCTTCAATTTTTTGAATCAACAATCTTTTCCTTTCTTCGCATTTATCTTCAATTACATCGTAGTCATTTTGAACGTACGACAAAAGCGTATATCCTTGAAAACGATTAAAACGGATTAATCTTGTCGTTACGTTCCCAAGAAGGCGTTAATGATCCAGGTTACGGCCGAAAATGGTAAGAAAATTTCCCGTTGGATTTGCTTTGCAATTAAAACCCTAACCAACATCGTTATTCAGCTAAATATACTATGCACTTTTTTTTAACCTATCATATTGCACAGTACTGACTTGCAGCTCTTTTGGACATTATCCTCTTCACTAAAAAGGCACGAGATGGAAACCTTGCATTCTTATAACATTAAAACTGCTCTTGAAATTTTTACGCAATCAATTGGATCCAAAGGTACGTTTTTTTCTAGAATTCAAATTTCCAGCACACATAATGAAATAAATTTGAATTGTACCTCAAGGTTCAAGAGAGTACGTCAGATTGCTGTACTGTATTTTGAAGCTCCTCTCGTCAAATTTTCTTCAATTTTTTGAATCAACAATCTTTTCCTTTCTTCGCATTTATCTTCAATTACATCGTAGTCATTTGTCTGATTGATTCCCCTTGACCAGAAAAGCACTAATGAGACAAGTATGAACTTCGGGCACCGTGAAAAATATTACTGTACAGCACAGTGCATCATTTTTCATCAAGTAAATTTTAATTTTGAAATTTTTTTTTCTACATCACATCAAATTGTGAACTTTTTGAAGAAAACTGGAGCAATTTCACTCCAAGATTTCGCTCCAAATGAGCCATCCAAGACTCGATCAAATCCTAGGGCAGCCAAATGAGTTCATTTAATTAGATTGCGGTGCTCCGGCATACGCGGAAGCAGCACGTTAGGCGGCACGAGGAACGATTTTCTGCATGAAATAACTTTTCTCATTTCTACGCAGTCTACGAGATTCATAATTATCATCTTTTCAGCACTCGGATCCACACTTCCTGGACAAAATTGAGGCAATTTAATTTCTCAGACTTGATCAAATCCAAAGCAGCTTTAATTAGTTGACATAATCAAAGTAAGGTCGCCGGGCTTCTGGCGGACGATCGTCTGGTGCTCCATTTTTGGTATTAATCCACTCATTTAGTTGTCCGTCTGCCCCATTTCGCGACAGTCAAAGGAGCTGTTGGGGGCTTCGGTGTGTTTAGGGAGTCTTAAAAAGGTGAGGGTCTTTAAAAAAAAGATCAAAAAAGTTTTTAATAATTCACCGACCAATCAAAACCAATTTTACTGTATTTCAATTATTGATCTGAATCGATATTAAATTCGAAAAATATCAACTGCAAATTACGGGTCTTGAATTTAACATTTCGCTAGTCCCTTCGTTTAGGTCTTAATAAAATTGCAAGTCACGCCTCCAAGGAAATACATGCTCAGGTCGTTCACATTGGATTTTTTCGGGCTGGCATCGCTCATGGAATTTTGTCAATTCCATGAGCGATGCCAGCCCGATCTCTTATACATGTATGTATCTCTTATACATGCTACACTAGACTTCATTTTATACAGTACTGCATGATCTCTTTATCTTACAACGAACACTTTTATCACGACGAATTCATCTGTTAGGTCTCCGCGCAATAGCTGCAATATTATGCAAGTTCTTCTACGACGAATTTTTCGCTATAACGAAGCTACAGTATTTTACTGGTCCCAGAGGTTTCGTAGTAACGAAAGTGTTCTGTAGCTCATCACATTTGACAAGGAAGACATTAGGACACTCTGGTAGGGTATATCACTGTATAGCTCGAGCATACTGTACAGTACTTGTATTCGTAAATACAATATTGTATTTCCGATTTCATTGAACAGTTGGGGATTAGAGTACTCGTAAGGTTCTGTCACATTCAGCAGAGCTTTTCATCTCGTGGTAGACGAGCACCCGCCAGATGGTACGCGAGATATTCCTAGATTAGCCCATCCTAAAAGCTCTTCACCTACTTTCTCTAACCTTTACAGTGAGTCTGATAGTCTGATCTCTCTAATCCTTCTGCTGCACCGCTTTTGAAGCTCTTTATCTAGTCGAAGAGGTATCACCCAGAAGCACAGAACCCAAAGGTCTATCTCCCTACGTACTGTACGTACGAAAAACCCACCCCAGAGGCCGCGTCAAGACATTCAGGGTGCAGCGAGGAAACTGAAGATGAAATTCCTCATTTCATTTCCTGTTTCTCATGACGTGTCTTCCCCAGAGGGATAGAAACAAGAAGGAGTCACGGACAAACGCGTTGAAGCCCCCGGCGAGACAAGAAGAACCTTGGGAGAACCCAGTACCATTTTCTTGGCACCGCCGCGCAAATCCACGCACGGCGGGACGACAGGCTGTCTGCCGCTTTGTCTGGCTCGCCTCCTCCTCGCAACCCCTTTCACACACAACCCTTCATTTTCGTTTTCTCCACCCCTCCCATCCTTCATTATATATTTTCTTCCGTCTTCTTCTTCTTCTCCTTGATTCCTTTCGGGAAGCAACAACAACAACGCCATTGCAGAGAAGGCGGCTTGAAAGTCAGAAGACGAAAATAAAATGAAAAGGCATGCATGCCCGGGCCACGACCAAATGAGTGCGAGAGCCGCGAAGTTCTCCGTGACCGAACTCGGCGTTTCTTTCTTGCCGGAATCTAAGTTCAGCTAGTGAGACAGAGAACGGGATAACGAAGCAAACTTATTCCAGACGTGACTTCAAAAAAAAAAAAAAAAAAACAGGTACGATAGAAAACGGAGAAGGGGAATTTTTTTTTTTTTAAGTTGCGACGGATTCGAAAGCTGGATAGAGACGATGAGAAAAACTCCGGTTATTTTTCACCAAAACATTCGAATCAAGCAAGAATCTTTCTCCAAGTTTCTTGAAAAACTTTATTTGTCCAGAAAGGAATTATGAATGGAAAATCATTTGCTCGATAAGCACATCTACACGCTTCCACGTCCCTTCCGATTACGGAATCCACGATCAATTAAGATGACGATGATTTTGATCTTTTCTTGGAAGTCAACTTGTTCGTAAAAAGTTGCGAGGCAGATCTAAAAAATAAACTTAATCTGTATTATCATCAATCGTCGGATTAGGATGATATACGGTATATCAGGTTTTCTATAGAAAAAAGGCTGGGTATTTCAAGTCGTTGACTCATCGGAGGGGAATTTCAACCAAGGAAACGGGGTTCAATTGCAAACGCGGAGAATTTCGAAACGAAACTCGATTTTAAATTGTTCAGATGACTTTCCCAGAGAACGTTCGTAACTTGTGCAATCTCGTTTTCAGGAAAAATTCAGACATATCCAAGTACACACAAACCGATCATCGTCCATGATCAGTTCGTCAGACAAAGGTCGCAATTAAAGTCTTTCATCAGCCAAGATTGCTTTGGAAATAATGATTGTACTTTATTCGCTCTTTTATTTTTCGGAAGCGTGGAGAACATTTCCATATTTTAAAAAAAAACTGAAAATTGTACCTGAACCAAGAAGATACTGTATTCGTTATAGAGAAAATGGCACGACCTTCGTGCAAAAGCATCATCGCAGATATGATTTGAAATCAAGGAAATACCCATCAACCAACTTTTACCGCAGCTCACTCCACAACCTGAACGTGCACATAGTTGTTGGGTTTAAAATCACCCATGCAAAAGATTTGATCTTATTCCAGCCAATTTCTTATTTTTAATGAAACTTGCAGATTTTGTCCGTTTTTCCCTGCATGTTTCAATTTTCGTCACAGCGCATCAAGTTACTTGTTGAAATTTTCAGCTTAAAATCCAGATGCGGCCTACACGTGCATTAATAAGGTGAAGTCATTTACTTCCTTCCTCAATGTTGAGTGCAGTGGGTCCCCGTACAACGTAACTAATCATTTCCTAGACGGATTTCGTTATGCCGAATTTTCGACACGTGGAACGCGGTTTCCCTCGAAATTACATCGCTCGTCATTCCATTGGTTCCGGTCACGAGAAGACCACGATGAAACATAATATTTTTGTACTTTTCAGCAGAAAATTGCGCATTTCATGTTATTCAGCGTGAAATTGAAGTAATCCTGACAACTCTTGCGCGTAACCTTCCGGATTTCTCCATTGTGGAACCAAGAATAAGTGAACCTATACTTCCCTTTTCAGTTTTTTTTTCTTGATTTCAAAAAATTCTCATGTTTAACTTGAAAACTTGTTAAAATTTTCGCATTTCTTTAGCAATACAATTTTCGTACTCCAAGAGTTATAATTTTCCCCATAAAAACGTTCGTTACACGGGTCTTTTGTTAAGCACAGGGAATCACTGTACTGTACTAAACATTCCAAGGAACCATCGTGAAATAACATGTAACAGTATGGTACACGCGGTCTATCTGGGATTCCCGTCGTTTGTACCGGTACCCTCGCAGAATCCCCAGGTTCCTTCTCCCGAGTCTCACAAAGCGTCACGCAGGGCGCGCGTGAAGGTGCGGGGCCCCAACAATGTTTCCTCCGGGGGCCCGGCACGAACCCAACGCCGTGGGCTCGCACAAACGTGGGAGAAATATCCATTTCCCTGTCTTCCCTGATGCTCCTTCTCTCGGCTTCTCCCTTTTCCCGCACGTCGCAGAGGATTCCATACCAGGGCTAGGTGATCAATGATAGCTTCGCTGCCACGGTACAAAAAAAAATATCCTCCGAACGAAACGAGAGATAGAAACTTACTACAGAGTACTGTACTGTACTGTACAGTAAAGACCGCGCGCGGGGTGTTGGGAGAACCGATCCCGATTAATAAACGAGACCAAGCGTCAAGGGAAACAACACTCCGAAATGGGAGAGTAGACGAATCGAGCGAAACTTTTAACGAAACAACTTCACTCCTTAATCGAATCAAAGCCTGGAACCGAATGCGGAAAATAGAAAAAAAATATAAATCAAACGATCGGAGAGAATCTAATCACATTGATACCACAGGCGTTCTCGAAAGGGCTTCCTTGTGGGAGCGGCTTATCATCAACATACTGTAGTTCTCACAATCAATTCTTACGCTACGGACCCTCTCCACGATCGTCAGCGAGCGATTATCCGATTTAATTCCAGTAAGGGCAACAATAAGACGAACAAAAATACTACGGCACTGTATATCGAATCTTTGAGTTTTTGTTTCGTTTTTTCTTGTCCGAATCCAGTCAGGGCTTCAAACATTTAATCTGGCATGTTGATGAACGATTTTCAGGGCCTTAGCTTACAAGAATCGCATCAATATGGTAAAAAAAAAAAATAAAATACCAACTAAAGCGCTTTCTCCCTTCCTTTTTATCCGAATCATGCCTTCGGTTAAATATTTTCCACAGATGTTGCCCAATGATTTTCAGGGCCTCAAGATCCATAACTTATGCTTTCAAATTGGATCAAGGCTTAAATTCATTTTTTTTAACGCACTGTATTTTATATTGCTACGAGGCTTTCAGGCTTCGCGAATACATTCAATTAGCGATTCACACTTTGAAAATAGCCGCGACTATCTCTCAATTTTTCAGTCATGCGAAATCGAACAGACGCGTTCGACGAAATCAATCGAATGCGGGGATATTTACGAAGTAACTGATTCAGAGAAAGTTGCGTCGATGAAGATTCCAGATGATGAAATGACTACGTCGAGTTACTCAATCTGCATAGTCAAGCCGAAAGTCCTGTCATCAGAAAAGCGTAAAGAAAATTTCCCTCCGTTTTGCCACTTCTGAATAGCGTGAAATTATTTTTCACGAAGTCCGGATAATCGTTACACCAGTTTAGTGTAAAGTGACATTATATAATACAGTAGTCGATTAATATTTCTGGCAGGTATATGCTACTCTCGTCAGAAATTTTCTCAGATTTTTGGGAAATTTATACGTTTTTTTATACCGCGAAATAACTGCCAAAAAACAGGACGAGGCCTTTGAAATTACTTTAAAATTGGACGATACAATGAGGCTCGTACTGTTATCTCAGATCTCGTGTCTTGTTCGTGGGACAGCCACGGTTTGTACACGTACTGTAGTTTCTTCCTTCTTGCTTTCGGGTTCGTCGACGCGTCCGGGTCCAAAATGCAGCAAAAGGTTTCGGTTGAATTGTTCGCGTTGGCCTCCAAGGCCGCCGAGTCTATTCATCACTCCGCGGCAACAACTGCATTCAACGCTTTCCTCACACCTCTAAGGTTCCACGAAAAAAAGGAACAACAATTCGTTCCCTCCTGCCTAACCTTCCTCGCAACAAGTGCCTGAGAAAATCGGCCTATGGCAAGCTTTTCCAGCAATTTTGGTTACTGTACCACTTTCAATCGTAACAATTATCACCTATCTCCTCATGGAATATATCACCAGGGGAATAGCCCGACTTGAGGGCATTGAACTCGAGTTGGAGGCACAACGTGAAAAATTTCATATTAAATTTCCGAACGCGCGATTTTTTTTTTTTTTTTTTTTTTGGTGATGGGCGTAAATCAACTCATTCCCGGAGGCAGAGCAAAGCCAGCTCATCAAACGCAGAATCCCACCCCGTAAAATTTCTGCAATACCCATCATCTTGGTTATGGCTCATTCTGAGCATGAACGAACAGATAAAACATCAGTGGTATTTATTCCAACGATTGAGAAGTCCCGGCCCGTGGTATCGACGGCGTCGAGAAAACAGCGACTGGAACGCAGCATTATGCATATTCTCATCTCGTGTGCAAGATTTAGGATAAGCAAACTTATTCATGTCTAGCACTTCCTGCATTTGTTTCAGGGACATTTTCGCTTGACTTACATGTCCTTTAGATGACGTGCAACTTACAGAAGCTTATATTTTTTCAATGTTAGAAGATAGCGGGATTTTAATTTCCAAAAGATGAGAACGAGTTTCATCTACGTATTCCAAAACTGATTCCACGAACGACGAAACGCAATTCGTGGTGTTGGCGTGAAAATCCATTTCATTCTGATTTCGAGGCATCGATTTGAAGATCCTTCCGAAATTTTCATGAACAAAAGCCAATACAGTACAACTGTATAACTGAGACCCTTAAATGACAGTGAAGTGACGCTCTGGAATTTCTTTGATACTGTAATTTGATACAGTACTTAATTCCACACGAAATCCGTGCTCTTTTGAAGTTCAAACCACGGAAAATCAGAGAAGGGCAGTTTTTCCGTGCAGCGAAATTAGGCATGTCAAGTTTCCAAGATCTGACTTGGACCCAACATATCTCGTAATCAGAATTTCTCAGTTCTTACATTTCGACGTTGATTGACAGTCGAACTCATCCACGCGTTTCAGAAACAGAACGCACGCTTCAATTCAGATTTTTCAACAAAAACACCAAGTCAACCGGAGGGCATAACATTCGATGTCAGGTTAATGAACAGCCGCACAACACGACTAACTAGATTCCATAGTTGTGAAATGACGCTTTTGCTGCATGCTTCCCGAGCTTGACTCAAGACTCGGAATCTTTCAAGTTTCTAAAACTGAATACTGTACCGCACAAACGCAGACTTTAAATCGGAGATTTTTCGCAAAAGTCATTTTCAAGTCAAGCTAATGAACAGTCGACAGCGTTAAAAGACCCGCTGCATTCTCATCGCGAGCGGAACAAAACAAAAAATAAAAATAAATCTTGTTCGTTCGTTGGCAGAAAATTCCAGCGCTTCGACCACAACACCACCATGTTGTTTTCCTCCAAAGCCGTGTTCCTGCCTACTTCTCTTCTCCCTGCTCGGGGTGACGAGAAGGAACCCAAAACCCGGGCCCGAAGACGACGCTAATGGAAGCGTCGACGTGACAGGGATGATCAGGGTGCAAGAACTGCCATCTGAGCAGAGGGGGAGAACGAAGCGAGAGAGAGAGAGGAAGAGGGAAAGAGAGAAAACACACGAACATTCCCAAGCGCAGCCAGACCAGAAACCTCGGCCACAGTAATGAATTATTCCATTCCGACGTCGATAATGATCGTCGCCCCCGTGGACAGCGGACACGACAAAAGCCCGGCGTTTGACGCGCCCAGGTAGCCATTCAAACCCCGCTGATCTTGTTTGTTACGGCGTGTCACGACGCCCCTCAGCGTTTCCCGCGTCGACGGGGACACGTCGAGTAGAGTCGACTCCGCGCCACAACGACAGCGTCGACGACGAGAGCCAACCTGAGCACGCAGCCTCACACACACACACACTCTCTGGGACGTTCACCAAAGTCAGAGTCAAGTAGAAAAACGGACCGACGCACAAAAGCGAGAGAAAGAGAGGAAAGGGAATATAGGAAGCTAGGAGGAACGTAAAAATCAGTTCATGTTTTTTCCCCGGCGCATCGAAAATGACGAACTCATCGTGAATTCAGAACCACTGAACAAAACAAGTTTTTTCTGGTTTCCATTCAAGTCCTCTGAAGTGGATTTAAAACGCATCTTTACAGAAGATACTGTACTTCGAACACGCATTGGGTGACAATAAATTCACAAGAGCACACGTCTAAAATTCTTACCCAAGAAAAGCGCTTTTAAATTTAAATTGAGTTCGAGGCTTTTCGGTTAAATCGAGTACGGCATTACTTGACGCGGTTTCTACGTGAACCTGGAAAAAACCACAGAAAAGCGCGTCTACAATATACAGTAAGTCCAAGTCGGTGGAAAATGAATGCGATAATAGATGCGCACACAAACGTGAAAATCTTCGGGTAAGTTCCCTGGCACGTCGAAAGGACAACTTAATCATGTATTCTGAACCCCTTCGGTCTCATGTCCACGGAAAGAGATACATTTTCTCCGAGTATTCAATTAAGAATCGCTGAACCCGACTTGAAACACCGCCTTCTGGGTGACACTTCACGCGCGAAAGATCGAGTCTATTTCTTCCGGATGGGATTTAAAACTTTCGAATCCGAAGAAACAATTCATACTTGAATCGCAAATTTTTAAAAGCGTTTTCAAGAAATTGAAGATAGCTAAGTACTCCCTGTCAAGTCCAAAACGATTACTACGGATTGTAAAAGAAAGAAAGGAAAGAGAAGCGCAGATCAGAGTAAAAAATCATGAGTTTTTTCTTGTGCGTCTTAGAACAACTTAATCACAAATTTTTAAACCATCAGTAAACTGGAATTGGGAAAACCCTTTGACCTCATGTCCACGTGTAGCTTTACATTTTGAAGAAATTAAGGATCACAGAACAGTACTCCGCCAGATTATGAACACGAATTTTTGGAGGCACGTCACACACAGCGGTTGAATCGATACGTTCCGGGTTAGATTAAAAACTATAGAATTCGGCAAAATGCGTTATCCGAACCTCCGTGAAAATGAAAAAGGCACACGGAAGTGATGTAATCCTAGTCAGGAAACGCAGCGAAAAACGACTGTCGGCTTTCCGCTTTCGAACGCTTTCCTGGGGCCGAACAACTGCGTAAAATATTACTCGAATTTCCGCATTTTTGAGGAGTTAGAATTAAATTCAAATGAGATAGGCACAATCAGGGATAACTTTTCCAGCAACATTTCAACACGAAATTTCAATTTCTCCCAATAAAAATTTTGTATACTCAAGAACTCAACAAGTAACCGGGACAATATGCCAGAAACTTCGTCGAAAATCACGGATCACTTCCGCGCACATTTTGCTGCTCAAGAGTCTGAAAATCAATTTATTAATATTGTGCTAGAGAAATATTACTAAATTAAACGAATGATCCGCTTAAATACGGCGGTCAAGTTTTCTTACGAACGAATGCAATAACTTTTCCGTGACCCGGATGGACTCTTGATCGCATTCAATACGACTTTTCCACTAGCAACACTTACATGAATAAAGGAATATGCAACTACCGCATCCATATTTTAGAAACTTCCTGAGAAATGGATACGTCGCTCTCGCAAACTTGCCTTTGATGGAACGTTCTCAAAAAATCTAGCGAAATTCGGCAAATCTGATTGCGTTCGGCGGAGTGGCAGATCACCAACTTCAATAAAGCAGCGAAGTTTTTTTTCTTTTCGGAATGGATGCGAATAAAACTTGCCCGATTAGTCGGTGTGATTGCCAATCGCAGTCGACGAACTTTTCTAAATGCATCACACGTTTCCCACAAGATGAGATTCGGAACTACAGTATTCATACACCAGGAAATTTCTGAAAAATAATGCCTACCTTTCCAACAATGTACCTCCGGTCAAATGGCGCAGAGATACTGCAGAAAAACGCTTACAGTACTTTATTTCCATTAAAAATAGCTTTTCGACTTGATGTACCATCAATTTCCAATAAAGTGTTGGGGTTTTTAAATTAAATAATTCAGAAATACTTAGGAGATGAGAAGCGAATAAAGATCGCTTCCACTGAATTTTTATCACTACGTCATTTTCTCCCAAATTAAAATAAATTCCGTGCTTTTCCTGAATCACAAAAGTATTTCCTGGAGAATGACGCATCATTGAAATCCCACACGTTTCTCAGATAAGAATTCCTTGAAACAACAGAAATTACCTGCCAACTCAGATCGCAAATAGTGATAAAACAAATGAAACAATCCGAAGAAACGCCTAATGTTCCTTCCTCGGAATGAATTGGAAAATTTCTAGATGACCCCGAGTAACTGCCATTTCGGCTCGTCTGGTGTTCGCCCCCGCAAATCCACGTACTGTACTCGTGTACGTGCATCATTCCTTTCCCCATCTGTATATTCGTATCAGACTCGTGCATGCATTCATAAATGCCTGAATGCGCGAACAGGGCATTTAACCTGAAGGTGCAGGTTTACGCACTCGCGACCAACTGCATCCGACCAATCGCGTTACTACGAATCTCCCGATAATTTAAAAGCTGACAACGACGTCCTCGCCATATTTAAAATGTCTACGGCGGAACGCAAGGTCGCTTTCGTCAAAATTTGTATGCAACTAGATCAGTCTAAGCTACGGTAAGCATAGGTTTCGAAAAGTGTGTTTAATCCCAAGTGCTTGATCGGGTGAGTGATCGAAGTTCTTCTCAAGTCAGTCGGGGTAGTTCAGTGCTTCGTGGGGTTACAACGTCCGTCTAAATTTTTCACACCCAACCAAGCAACCAGAACCTCGTTCTTTAAAAATGTTCCCAATAATTTTGAATGCTTGAATCAGGAGCAAACAATGGAACAACATGCAGCCACCGTGAAAACTTCGAATTTTATCCAATACAGTACTCAAAATTCAAGTACAGAAACCTTGAATAAAAAATTAGATTAGACGGGAAAACAATAAACGCTGTTCCATGGTGCTGCGGACTTGATGCTATTACAAGCGTATGCCCACAAATACGAAGGAATGCCAAAGATGTGATTGAAAAGCGTTCACACACTTTTCGTCGAGAAAACTTGAAGGAAAAAAATGTCTCACTCTACCGCATACAGTATTTCCATAGCTGACGAACAATCGTTTGAAATTTCGCGGAATCGGTCAAAAACATATATTCGGGACGATCTTAGTATGCCTTCAAGAAAAGAATATCGGACACCGACTGATTTTCTCATCACTAATAGTCCCACAAAGCTAAAATTTCAAGAATTTTTCTAGCGTCGAATAAGATCTTTTACCAAGAAAATATTAACTCGAACAGAAGAAAACGTCCACATTCAGGCAAGTTAAATAACAAAAACATGTGCAAGATCTTCTACCGTTACAAAATCAATATGAGTGAACTATCGCCAAAACGTTTGTTTCTCATTCTCAGTGTATTTAAAACAATAGCGTATCTTGGAATTCCTTTCAAACTTGCTTTCATACTTCAAGCCTGAAATTCTGCACACACACAAAAACGGGGCTCAATTTCACTGGAAGAATTTAATAATTTCCTCATGCAAATCAGACGTGAAATTTAAAAAAAAGAATACGACGTTCAACCAAGCAGCTAAAGATAGTTCCAACACGTATTCACAAGAAGAATCGTTGTCATATGCCTTTTCAACCGTTGAACTTATCGTGAAGCAGACTTTTGATCCTGAATGACTAACGCAGGTCATCGCTCAAAAGGTGTTCACGTTCCTTCGTTTCCCCGCAATACAAAGCTAATTTTTCTTCTCTCGCATTTTTTTCTCTCACAATAAACAGACGGGACGGGCTTTCAAAATTCTTGGTGATGATTAAAATGCTCTGGTTGGTGAAGAAGGACGGATACACTGGCACATAATGAACCTCTAAAGAGCAAACAGGAATCGAATTCCAGCCATGGCAAGTATCCCGACGGGACGGGAACGGAAGGAAGGAAGGAAGGGAGAGAAAGAAAGAAAGAAAAAACACTAGACGGACGCAAATGCGGATACGCACGAATTCCATCGGCAACGCTAAGGCCCCTGAGAAGCGTCATTCCATTGGCGGTCATAACCGGACGATCGGCCTGGAACGACAGGCCGTAGTCGTCGTTAAACGTCTCTTGGCTGACATGGGCCCCGACGCCGCCGTCACGAAAATATCGACGTGCCTCCGCGACATTAAAGTCCCCTAAAAGATCGTCGCGATCCATCCCTGGCCCGTCGATCAACGTCGTCGTAATTCCTAATCCGGTTTTCCCCCCTCTCCCCGGCCGTTTTGTTGTTAGTGCATCAAAGGGCTTTATTCTCTCCTTCCTGCAGAGCGTCTGTTCAAGATTGCGCAAACAATGTTCTCAACACGATGGGTTTCAACTTTTGAAAACCACCAACAACACGTCGATTAACCAACGAAGTCCCCCAGATTTTACAAAAGTGCGTAAAACAGAATGCGAAGTTCTAAAACGTGTCAAAATAAAAAAGTACAACTGAAGCAATCGACCGAAACACTTGAAACTTCATCTTCCATCTCAACATCTCAATTATTAAAAATGTTCTACATCTAAACGTGACAAATTTGAAATTTTGACAGCCCTAAAGTGAAGAACATGGGCATTTTTGCTCGACACCAACAAGCTTATCAAAATTTAAAATATTTCAAGAATCAAAGGAAAAATTAATCCAAAATCGACTGGATAAATTCAAACCAAGACTCGTTCCGCTGTCTCTATGATCCGAGCAATATAGGATGATGAACGTGAGCGAACTTAATAACGACAGCGACTGGTATCAAAAACTAGTTACGACCAAAAAAATTATTGAACTGAAAGAAAATCTTATTCAGAACGATTCCAACAAAATTAATATAAGTACTCTTCCTCGTGTCGTCAAATACCTTCATGATCCCCAATGAAGTTCACGAAACGCAAAGTATCACTCTCAATTACCTTAGTCTGTGAAGAAACCCATAAAATGTACTATGATAATACTATACAGTATACAACTTTTCGTTAACATAGGTAAGCACTGAACGGGCAATTTTATCATATGCTGAACACAGAAATCAAACGAAATCTGAACGTTCCCTCCTGGTATTTTATCCACGAGTCCTCCAACTGTCCCAGCTCCAACTTTCGACAGTTAATTAAGAAGAATTCCTCAGCCTCAAAAGATATTCCGTAAAAAATTAGCACGACAGAAAATTGTTCAATTGTAGTACAGTAATGTGTTTACATCCCACCTGATATCCGCATAGAACCTCCCAAGTAGGTAAACTTCATCGTTCGACGCATCAAGATCAAATCCATTTACCCAAAAACATCCTCAGATTAACACCATGGAACGAATAAATTTCCATGGACTTTTCTGAATGTAGCAGCCCAACGATAAAACGAATCACGTTTTTTCTTCTTTTCAGTCGTCATCACATCAAAGAAAAATCATCATGCTTAAACCCGCTCGAAACACTTACACAAAACCAGTCAAATACGGCCAAATGCCAATACTAGCTCCAAAACTAGACAGACTGGCTCTTTGAACCAAAGGGAAAGAAAAACGATGACGAATGGACGCGGAATTTCCGGGTGGAGGGGGAAAGAGAGCGAGAGAGAGAGAGGAAGCTATGTCGAGAGTTCGCAAGACGAAGGGTTTTGGGGGGGGGGGGGGGGGCCCCCCAGGGGCATTTCTGTCTTTCCCCTTAAACGTCGGCAAAGTACTCACAGGACAGTCAACCGTTCCGAGGCCAGCGGAAACGCGTCAAAAGGGATGTCGACGACGCCGTTGCTGGACAGGTCCAGGAATGTGAGTTCGGTCAGGGATGACAGAGCCGTGGCGTTCAGCGAGTGGATCTGGTTCCGCGCCAGGTAAAGTCGCCGCAAACTCTTGCCTCCGGTCCCCAGAAACGGCATCTCCGTCAACTCGTTATCTTCCAGGATTCTGCCGAAGCGATAAATTGCCGTCATTTCAATGCCAACCAGCTCATCAATCCGGACGAATCGAAATTTTTTAAAATAATAAACCCTATACCAAATTCCCGGCAAATGCATGATCATGTCGGGGTCATTTGCGAGAGCTTTTACGGGATCGTCGTCATTCATATACAGGCCTTGACTACCAAAATACTGAAGAGGCTTTTACGAACATTATCGATGTTTTTCCTCTAAGCTCGCCGACGACGTAAAAACACTTCGGTACTAAACAAAAATGTAAATACTGTATGTACAACATCCTCGTATTCGTTATGGCGCACTCGTCAAGTCCTCGACGATGCCTCATACGAGGGGTCTAACAAAAGTTGTCGGAAAATGATGTGAAAATTTGGCGGCAGTGAAGGGTGTTGATGCGAATGGCAGAGTGGCCTTGGAGCAGCAAGAAGCAACACTTTAAATTAATCGTCATGTCGATTTCAAAAATTATGGGCGATTTTTGAAAAATTTTCCAGCAAAAATGTCGAACAGGGCTGTAAGTTTTTTCTTGCTCGAAGGATTTTTTTTCTGCAGAATTATTTTTTTTAAGCTGCATCTTACGCAGTTTCAATTTTTATTCCGAGAACTATTGTTTGACCCCTCGAAACCCGCGGTTCGTGGTCCATGGTAGTCTTTTTGCCGGTCCGCAGAATTTTCTTCCGCATAATAAATTTATAAAAAGCTGTATCGAAGCCTGTTACCCTCATCGAAAATTTAAGCCTGTTACCCTCATCGAAAATTTCGGAAGGACAATTGCAATTAAAATTATCTGATTAAAAATAAAAGAAGACACATTTGTAACTGCCGAAATGAATAAGTTTTCATTCCAAAAAACTGTTCTTCAAGCCCAGCTGTCGAATTTCTCTAGACATTCCACTCAAGCTGATTCATCAGTTCCTAACTTAGATTTTGCAATACAGTACAGTAAAAGCTTCGTCCGGAGGAATTTATGGCAGGTTTAAAAAAAGTCTGCTGGTCTTCACAAATGTTATGGAACTTTGCCGGTCCACGAAAATTTTTTTTCGGAAATTCAACGGTTTGCTTGCCTGAAAATGTTGAGGAACTTTGGTTTAGAGAATCGTATGGAGAACTAAGTTGATTCGTTACTTGAGTTGCCCTTTAATCAAGGGTAATCGTTAGATTAGGTACCACCGTACTCAGGAAGAACACGCGTCGACGAAATATTTTCAGAACAGCATGTATTAAAAATCAAACACCAGGAAGGGACATCGTAAAAGATAATGAATAACGGGAACAAATAAAAAAATACAATACCAACAGTGCAAGAACAAAAAGGAAATTTTAATAAAGAGCAAAAGAGCACGTATCCAAGGAGCACAGGACGGATAAAACCACAGGAACAGATAAAAGGCAAACATTAAAACAGTGAAAGCCGTTAAATTGATGGAAAGACCGGCCGAAGCAGCAAAACAGAGTGCGTATCGAATCGAAGAAGTATAACAACGGAAAAATCAAAATGACCAAATGAAGTACTGTACACGTACAATAATAGCATGATCAGCTGACATTTTGAGACAGACTCTCGCTCGTGCTATCGCCACCATTACTTGATGATGTCGAATCCATTCACCCAACAAAAATCATCAATTTTCCCACAATGATTAAGAATAAGGTTCAAGAAAAAAATTACAAACTCAAAGATTCGAAGAAGACATTTCTGGCAGTACGAATCCGCGAGAAAAATGCATCGTCACTCTACAGGTCCACTCGCAGTTCACAAGCAAACAGACAAGAGGACAGTCAATTAAATTATGCCGACGACTCACCCATTCTTATCCCACGCGAAAAAAGGAAGAAAAAAAAACAAGGACACAACGAAGGGAAACGTATAAAATTCAAGTACTCACAGTTCTTGTAGTTGCGAAGAGTTCCCCAGCATGCCATCTCGTACAGTCCGGATCACATTCTTACTCAGGTCCCTAGAAAGAAATGGGCGAAATAAAAAACCTTTTTCAGTGATGTGGTACGGCACGCTTTTCCAAATGCTTGCAAAGTATCGATTCTGACACGACAGCAAAGAGTGGAGCGACCCGGAACGCACGTTACACGATGTTCTCGTCTTCAAGTACTCGTAGGGTCCCAATTTTGGACACCAACGCCACAAGTACCAACACTTTGTTAACGAGTAACACGCTTAACGCTGACCCAGTCAGTGACTAGCGTAAAATAATTGATCCAAAAAAGAAACCGTGGCTTTCACGGAAATGCAGGGGGGGGGGGGGGAACCAGCCATAGAATTCCTTTGCGACACTAAAATCCGCTACGTATGATTCAAAATACTGAACGACGATTAAATAGACTGATAATATTCAGTAACTGAATGTGCATCATTCCAAGAGAAAAAAAAGCTCAATTCGTGCACGCAGTATCAAATGGGGGATTCACACAGGAAGTTAAAGAGAGACAAAACAAAAGTCTTCAGAAGGGCATTACGATAAAAATTTCGCTGAATGGAAAGAGCAATTTTTCAATTTTTTTTCAACAAATGGAGATTATGTTCATACAGTACTCGTAAAAAGTTAGAACCAGAAAAAAATAATTCGTACTAGTAAAAATATTTCTTTGAAGGACATTTTTGAAGCGACCTGATGAACTGTACGTAAATCTGGCGTTAATCTATTCGTTTGACAGTTAATTTGAGCAAAGCGGTTTATCTTCCTGAATAAAAAAAAAACATATGCACCTAACTTTTTCGTGCGAATATTATCCACAATCTCGCATGCGAGACAAAAATGAGAAACTGACGAGGATTGCGGGCTTAAATCTAAAGGTAACCTTGCTGTTGGATATTTCGAGACGAGCGATTCATCGCATATAATTCTCGTCAAGGTTCGCTGGCGCATGTTTTATGAATTCGCCAACAGTCGAAGCGTTATCGAATAATTTCATCTACTGTAATCGTGAAATATTCTTTTAGCACCAACGTCAAGGGGATCTGACCAAGAGGATTTTTCAGTGAGTGATGCTGACTGGAAGTTGTCCGAAATTTTCCGCTGGTAAACAAAAAGTTGTCCAAATTCGAAGAACATCCCTATAGGAAAGTAATACGGTTTGAATCTCTGCAGCGAAATTCAAGGGGCCAAAAAGTATTCGTTCTGGATGACCCCTATAAAACGGTGAGTAAACCCTTGAAAAATTCGTTATAGAAAGAATATCGTTGTAAAGAGAGTCCACCTGTAGTGTCTTTTTCTTGGGTCATACTTTGAATCTTTTTGTGGTTTGCAGGATCCCAACTTGGTGAGTTGGGTACCATACAAAAAAATCTTCATATCATGCTCCCGACAAATAAAAAATGCAATCGTAAGATTTTTAAAGCAGCACATGAGAACTTTTCCGAGTACTCATCCCAAAAATGACCCCTTTCGAAGCACGACGTTCGAAAAAAATACATGCACTGTAAATCATGAACAGTCAGGGGAATTTTCGCAGGCCCAAGGTAATTATGATCACGGGGCGGTTTCGGCCCCTCGGGCCACAATTGGCTGCCGACCTGTCGATAAAACAGACGTAGTCAGTGCTCCTCAGTTGTCGCATTGCAGGATCTGGCTGAGCAGGGATTGCTTCTCCTTATGCCTAATTCGCTCGGCTAACAGAGATTTCAGAGCCGGATAGCCAAGGAAACCCGTTTTATTGCCCACGGGGAGGAATAAATGAAATAAAATAAAAACTATGAAGAAACCATCGAGTATTATCGCGGGGCGGAATTATTCAAGCAACGTCGGGGCATCCGAGCTGATGCTTAGATACCCACAGGAGAGAGAGAGAGGGGGGAGAGAAAGAAAAACCAAGGTTCTCTTTCTCTCCCTCTTCATAAGACTCGTTCCGTGCGCTTGAATACCTCATTTTCCCGAACCCAAAGGGAGCGGATTTATGGAACAACAACAAAACCGCGGCGCATTTGGTTATGCACAGAGCGAGCAAACCGTAACACCTGTGACTCACGGAATAAGTTCTAAAACACCTGCAGCCATTCGAAACTCGACAGAAAAGTCCCGCGTTTTTCTAGAGTACAGTGCTCCACTGCATTCGGAGGGCATTTCGTTCCACCAACCAGACAAACCCCGCTCTGCTCGAGTCTCGGTGCGAAATTTCGACCTTCTTTTCCGACCACGTTCGTGGGATCATTTCATCCACGTTTTTCTGGCTGTTTTTGTGCTGGGGTTGGAAAGTAAATTAAGTAACACCCTCGCTTCGAAGTACTGCACAGTACTCGCCGAGTTCAGCATAACCTAATCTAAGCAGACACCAACGAACTAAGAAAGGTCTGACGAGAAAAATAACGTACTGTATCTAGCTTTAGTCAATAGACGCCCCTCACAATAGATTTTATTTCAAATTTTAAAAGGCTGCCGTCATTTTTTTGTATCATACGTCGGGCCTTGATTTGAATAATAAACCACATGACGATCAAGTTTTCTTGGTTGAATCGAAGTACCTCGGAGAAAGGAGATACTCATAATTATTCTAGTAGAGTGCAGTAGATAAAAAATAGGATCAAAAGGAACCGTTCTTCCAAATGTCCGAGCAGTTTTTTCTGCGACATTTTTCCAAGCACCCATTCATAAATGTTGGTCATTTTTTGGGAATTTACGAAGAACATTTTGCACTGATCAAGAACGGATTAGTTAGCATTAGTATTTACACCTTCAAATTTTAGAATTTAGGACTAGAGGAGAAAATGAACCAATTGGCCTTTCTACACGTGTTTTATAACTGTATTCAGTGGAGAGCTTTCCGAATAACAGCCTTCCCATGGGAACGGATCATGTACTATACAGTATAATAAATGGTTTACTACAATTTACTACCAAACCAGCCTTTTGAAGACCCCCTTTAAAAGGGATTGTGTGAATTAAATTGAGAAATCTGTGCTACACGAATTTCCGAATAGAGTAGGAATACGATCTACTAGAAGTACAGAGCCTAAATAAAGTCGCAGTGGTCAGGAAAACGATAAAGAAACGAGTGTACAGTACTATAAATAACATTTACGCATGGACAATGGTCCGCCGGGAACAGGAAGAATCGTTGCAGAAAATAAAACAAAAAAAGAAGTTTCGAAAGTCGATTTTAACTACGCAATGAAATCCTCTACAGTACTGTACATGAATTTGTGCCCGGAAAAAATTCCAATTTTTTCAATTAGATTAGCTATCATATTTACGCCGCTCTCAGTCTAAAAAATTAAACGCAACTTCTACTTGGTACCAGAAACATCGGCATATAATTTTACACGTCACGAAAACGTATACAGTAATGCAATGTTGGTGCTCTCATGAAACCGCTACAGTAATGTACTTATATTGTATACATTTTATATCTCTACACTGTGTGAAATTGTAAAAGCAAAGTTTTCTGCGATTCTGATAGCAGTACTTTTACGCATCCCTGTGGTATGATTAGCATACAGTTTCTGATCGAGAAAAAAAACACTCTGAAACGAACTTCCATACGACGAACTATTCTTATCTTGACTTCGATTATCCACGCATAACATTTACCGCGTCACGTCAAATTAAGGAGCTCCAGTTCCTTCTGAAGAAATGATCGAGTAGGTAATTATTGAAAATTATGTCCGTGAGATTTGCGTGTAATTTACGTCAATAACTTATGCTCGGCCATCGCTGAGTGATTTTTGTATTTGATCGTTGAATAACATTAGACTAAATCAACGAAGTAACCCCATGATTGGCACAAATTATACTGTGTGTTTTGTGAGGATGTTGGAGGGGAACTGTGTTGACATTACAATATTTCAACTAATACACTTGAACCTCGAAAACTCGAATATATTTTCAAGTCGATTTTTTAGGTTCCTGTCTGGATTTCCTTGGATAAAAAGCATGAAACATCTCCCCTAACTTGAAGGCTTTCCTCATCGAATCGCCCTAACGCGAATTTTCTGGAAGCCATTTGAATACAATGTTCACGCAGGAAACAGAAAAGCAATAAAAATATGACCGTGCTTGATGTGTTTCGAAAGGAAGAGAAAGATTGATCGTGCAAATAAACTCTTGCCTCCACCTTCAGCATGTCAACTAATTTCCTAATAAAATTAAGGCCTAGCCCTAGAATATCACCAATGAAGATTTCCTGTGTATCTTTCCCCCAACAAAAATGCTTGTTACAATACCACGCAACCTCTTAAACTCGATTTTTTTCTTTTACTGGTCCCTTGAAGTTCGACTTCAAGAGGTTCGACAGTACTTTGGATTCTCATTAGGCTGAAAATTAAAATTAGAGTGATACGAAAAATGCAGGCGCTTCAGAGAGTGAAAAAAAAATCATTACACGAGCATTGTTTTTAAGGGGAAGTGACGAACAGGCATTCTAGCGCGAACGCCGTTGACCGCACCATCTTTTAGTTCGCCGCCGCTATTCGATTAAACCCCCTTTCCAAGGGGATTCCAGATCCGGAAGTTTCCGCCCCTACAGTCTTCGGCATTATCTCGCCGACCGGCGACAAAAGAAGCAGATATGAAAATGTAACTCGCAGGGAAGAGACGGCAATACGGGAGAACGACGACGACAGCGAGGCGCCTAATTATGCATCACGAGTACCCCGGGGTTATGAGCAACAGGGTTATAAACCCGGGTTAAGCGACGGCAAGATCCGAATAGAATCTCGTAATGAATTCCTCAGCTTGCGGTCAACGCAACCGATTCCAGCGTCGGCCCTCGAGTTATCCGACGCGTCAGACACAAAACCCTCCTATAAAGGATTCACCTTTTCAACCTCCCGTTCATTAGCAGCAATCAGCTCGGTATTAAAAATTCATGGACGCCTATAAAGACCGGCGCAGGCAAAATTAAATCTTATCCGAACGATCCGAGCCATGGGAAATGTTTGCAAGCGAAAGAAGACCGACTTCACGACTCCAACACGATACTGTAATTACATCGCCACGGAAAACATCAGAACTTCGATATTTTTGGCTAACAGAAATTCGAATTAAGAATAGCAGGCTTCCTTCATTACTTCATCACTTTCGAAAAGCTCGAAGCCTCTGACAAAGAATTCAAAAAATATGCTCGCGGCCTGAAATCAACATTGACATCTCACGCGAAGAAGGCTACTCAGGTGAACTCTTTCTAAAACGATTTTCTTTTAAAAATGATTTTGTGATTCCCGAGGATTCTCTCACCATGTTATAAAGGTTTTCTACTATTTCTCTGGTTCATAGAATTTAATTGTAAAGAGAGTACACTTGTATGAACATCAAGACTACCGTGTTACAATAATTAAGAAGATATGAATTTCAGTTTCATTTCTCAGAAAATTTCGGTGCTTCGGATAAAATCTTAGCCTTCTAGAGGAAAATGGTCAACAAAAAAAGAATACAGTAATACTCACAGCTTCGTCAAATTCTCCAAATGAGCGAAGACGTTGGTGTCTAGGACTCGAATGGCGTTCATTTTCAGGTCTCTGAGGAAAAGATAAAATAAACCGACAATTAACACCTTCCACCACATTTCGGAGGCTATAAATGCACCGCGAAAAATGCCGAAGGTTCTCAGCGTGCCATGAAACATGAAATGATCAATTAGCGGCCTTCACCCCACGAGACATTCACACAAGAATACTCTTGGAAGAGCTCCCGTTGTTCTGTAATACTTAATGAACAATGACCACAGCTGAATGCTCATTAAGCATCAGTGAAACCGAATGAGATCAGAAATGACGATGAACATCGTTAGACAGAGATGTCAAACGCCACATTCTCCTTTGACCTAATTTCAGAATTTCACTCTCAAGAGACAATAACAATAAGCATGCTATCAAGCAAAGCAATCTCTTAGCACAAGTTGCACATAATCTTATCTAGAGGTCTACAAAAATAAACTGCATGGATTCGATTCTCATATCAGGTAAACAATGACTAGCGAATCAACATTCTCTTCAGTTTCCATGGGAATTCACAACGCAATCCACGCAGCTCCAGAACTAAAGTATACGAAATGAGAGACTTGTGTGCGCCTTTCCAGCCTTTATGATTCATAGCAGAGATAACGAAGTGGCAAGTGTTCCACGAACAAACCTGTCAAAAACTACTGCCTCTGACACACTCAAAAAGCGGTGGTCCTCTTGCAAGATAACACATACCTACTAAGCTGATAGAAACAAATGTACCGCATCATACCTAACAAAAGCTAGTCAACGTTTCGGAGGTTGTTCCTCGCTCGAGAAGGGAATGGTTCACATTGTCAAGCGAGGAATTGAAAATAAATGCATTTCTGAAAAATTCCATGTACTCACAAATATTCCACCCATTTAGGGATATCTTTGGGCACGTCGATCAAGCCTTTCTCGCTGCAGTCGACGAAATTCCCCAGACATTTGCATGCTGAAGGACAGTCTGGAGCAATTGGGTTTGCCCAAGACGACGTGAAGGAGAGAAAAATGCAACAAAACACCAAACTTTTTTCCACAGTCAAAAAGGTCGGCATCTCCGAACGCGTCAGAACGAAGTAGACACTTCGCCTCCTTCGGCCGATGCACACGGATTTCATACGGGGTTCAAGAGGTACACTGAAGTCTTGGACAGACACATTTTCTGTCCACTCTCTCTCGCTCACAATGGAGAGCACAGACACAGATCAACGACGATTCTCTCGCACTTTTTTACTTCCCTGAAAGTAAGCACGTGGTAGTGAGGAGGGATTTTTCGGCGAAATCACCCACAACACGTTAAAACAACAAAATGTTCGTCTGCAGAATAACGATTCCTGATTGGAACAGAGCAGTGAGGAAGATGCTTTAGATAAACTGCTACACGAAACATGCAGTAAATCTTGACAGAGATGTGGAAGACTAAGCCTATTTCAATGATGCATGACGATTTTCATCACCTGAAAATTCGCTCACTCCTACAAAAGTTATTAAAACCCAACAGGAACGGCGAATTACGGTAATGACCTAAGAAGGCAACAGATCTCGGCAAAAATGAAACCACTCTTGATGTAAGAAGCACAAGAAATTTGACGGAAAGAAAGCTAAAGAAAACCGGTATTGATTCTAAAAATTAAAACAAAAATTACACGGAAAACTGTACTTCTACGGATGTTTGACGATATGGAGAAATGAACACGAAAATATCTGGGAATTAACCCATCTACCGAAATTTTGTAAGAATTTTAAACCGCCTCTCTATTTAGGGAGATAACGACAAAAAAATGCGTTATACTGTAGCGCATGGAACAATAACAGGCATCAAGTTCAAATCGGTTACGTCGGAGTAAACAAAGCGCTCAATCCTACAAGAAACCATTTCCGGCGTAACCGAAAAACACCATTCTCAACACAGGAACGCACTCACATCCTCACCACACGCACATCCAAACTCGCATACACCACTGCAGCACTCTTACGAACATGATTCGAGTGAGCATAGGAAACGAGAAAGGCGAGAGGAATGCTTCACAGAAATATCCTACAGCAATATAAAATTCAAGCGCTCCGCGAAACTCTATTCCCACGAAATGTACCGGCCGATTCCCAGAGGAGAATGATGCGGCTGTTCCACTAATACATTACTTACTAAAAATTCAAACTCAGAAAAAAATGCAATGATCATACTCCTTCTCCACTCAAACTCAGATTCCTACAAAATGAGGACACGAAACGCTTCTACATCGCGTTCGTCAAAAACCACGCAAAAAAACACCGTATCGAAACTTTCGACACGAACACGTGGTTAAGATACAGTCGCGTGTCACATTCGGAATCATATGGAAGGCGGGCGAAACTACTGCGAAGCCATTGATTCAGCGCAGTTTTGAATATGCAAGTCCTTGCTATCAAAGTCGTGACGTTCTTCATGCTTCTCCAATGCCTCTACAGTATCACGCACTTAATGATGAAGTAGGGCGTAACGAAACATCCGCATGAAATGATGACGAATAACGATTGAGAATTTCGCCTTGAGCTTTTAAATATAAATTTGCACGACACAAATACCTCGCAAGAAGAGATGTGCTTTCCTCAGAAGCAAGACCCGAACTGATCGTATCAGGACGCTGGCTGGAAGAGAAGGAGCTCGAGCCAGCTCGTCGCCGCGTTCCCTTGCTTTTGCGGTGGGTAACTTGAACAGAGCCAAGCGCAAACGGGAGTTCTCTCAATCTCTATGACTATGTAACCGAACACAATTTTGTATCCGCAGACGAACGCATTCAAGTCCATTATCGTCTCTGATACTGAAAACATTACAATGTGCGATATTGAAGAAATATTTGTTCATTTTCACATAATTTCTGGTGTTTTTCTAGTTTACTCCTGGCAATATATAGCATCTAAGATAGTTCATGGCTTATTTTGATACTATAGTACTGTAAAAAGCAGAGGATCACTGAAACTATATATGCTGAGTAGTAATTTTTTTCACCCTGTATGCGAAATTGTGTTTACCTTTGCCTGTAACAATGAACCGAGTGGTTACGGTATCCTTAAATGCTTCAGTTTGTAAAGAAAGTTAAAGAGGAGCTAAGAAGCTAAAGTGTATGATGCCCAGAGCTTTTTTTTTTTCAAGCACCGTAAATCTTCATCATCTTCCGCACCAACACAAAAATGTCCATTAATTGCCACATTTTGCATCGCTCCATTTATTGTTTCTATTCAACTGAAAGATGATTTTTAATCAGATGCACTGTATCATGAGCTGCTAGCACTACTTCAAGCCTGAGTTAGCGAAGTTTTTGTTTAAAAGGATACATATAATATTGCGGTGTAGGAATAATAAGCTAAATAAATGCAATACTGTAATCAAATTCTAAAATTGTGCCATCAAACAGCGTCTGAGTTCAATCATCCAACGTACTGTTCAGTGAGTAAAGCTCTGTATATAATCGTATGTAGATGTCCTTCAAACGTCTGAGCGTGCCAGCTTTCAAATCGATTCATACAAAATTACTTCCTGATGACCGGATCAATGTTGAGATCCGTCATATGCTGGTTTGCATTCAGGGCCAACAGTGCTGAAATGATATACAGAATGAGAAACCTTTGCGCTGTTCCAGCTCACATGTTCATGAATCCCTTTTTATGCCAGGAGATTCCACTACATTTCAAGTAAGCATGCTGCTGGAGTCCGTAAAAAAAAACGCTGCGAAATCTCTAAGGCCATGTATGGCTGACCCACCCCAACTAACCATTCACAGTCAATAAATTTTATTTGAACTGTACTTTGACCACAAAATCACAGGTTATCAACATGAGCTTCTCCATAAAACAGCGTCTATGTATAAATTTCACGAAAACTGCATAGCTGCAAACAAAAAAATTAATTTTGTTCCAACCTTTGGATAAAAAAGGTTCTTGAATCGTAGTTTCAATTTGTGCATTCCATTTCCAAAATATTCCATGAACATATCGAGGAGGGATTATTTTCTTTTCATAAACTGCACATAATAATCTTTTACCTTTCGAGCATAACAAAACTGTACTGTATGCAGCAAGTACTTCCAATTGAATTCAAATATGGAAGACTAACCCTTTCCTTTTCAGGTTAAATTTGACATTTAATTTAAAGGGGCACAGGCCAAAGATGAAGCACGAAAAAAATAAGACGCGATGAACGCGGTGATTTTTATCGATCGACACAAGATGGAATTTTCCTTGCTACACCAATGGCTGCAACCACATCCCACGCATCACAAGCAGCTACGAAACAACCCTTACAAAATATTAGCGTCATTCCGTGAAAGCACTAAATCAGTATAAAATTAAAAAAGTGTAGTGCTTCAATTAGAGGGCATAATTTCATTTATAAAATCGCGCTGAATTTGCTGCTAGGCACAAGAAATAAAATACAAAGGACACACAAGCTTCTAGTTGGAAACATTTCTCACTGAAGTGAGATAACGTATACGCTGACGTACAGTATTTTTAATGTTAACATGGATGTTATTAGCTTGAGGCATGACTGATTCCGGTTCGGAGTTGAACCCATTCCAGTACGCATCCGTAAATTAGACCATTACCTACAACTCAACGCAATGTTCATGACTCTGGAATACTGTGCACCAAAAATCGTTTCGATGTAGCATGAAGAGAACAGTTGGAAAACACAGTGGAAAAAGAGCCATGTGATTTATTGCTCAATCTCAATAAATCTTCAGTACTAGAGGTAACAGATTCGCAGATTTTCCCGGATCAGTTTCAGAGCTCAACAATGAAGAGAACTCTACGTGCATTTCTTAAGGCGCCGAGAATATTTTTTGAAGCAAGTTCAAAGTGAGGCTCAATCTCGAAATAAGTCTATCACCAAAAAATCACCACGGAAACAATTATCGTAACACAGCAATTACAGATGGAAAAATCACTTGGGCGTAGTGGCGAACACTTGTTCAGACGTGGACTCCTTAGAAGTCGAAGTTTTTGGTTTCCTAGAAAACATGAAAAGAACATCAGATTTCCCAATCGAAGACCCTTGAACTAAACACAGTACTGTACCTGCTCGGTTTCCGTGGCCCATGGAAGATATTCTTCTTTGATCCTTGCAGGGCAGCTTGTGACTGAAGGGCTTGCGAATTATAATAATGTCGAGTTTGCAGCATCTCAAAACACTTCTGCAACGACGCTAACGCCGCTTGAGAAGTGGCTTTCATGATTAACAACTGAGGCTCCGTGGGTTTCCACTGTTCCGCTAAAACAAAAATTTTGAATTTAAGGCTTTTAAAAAATCTGGAATCGAAGGCTGAACCGTAAAAAGAAGACTAATACCAAACAGAGGTTTAATTCAGACACCTTCATATTTTATCTTATTCAAACCCACACATGAAGAATCCCGGTTTAATACAGGTATTCATGGAAAAAGTGCAACGCCAACGTCAGGTCGTTTATACTGTACTGTACCAGTGTAAGGAAGCTGAAGATAGGCTCGTGAACATAAAGTTCGAAACAACATTCAAGAAAAGGCTGCACTGAGTAGCCGGAGTACCGCACACTCGAATGTGTCGGGAAAATATCACGATGAAGCACGAAACTCAGCATATTGATTTGGTTCGAGGAGACAGAAAACCGAATATTGACAGAGGCTTCAAAATAACCACTCAGAACTCGAGTGAAAACCATTGATTCAATGAGATGCAAGAGGTAGTTGTCGTTTACTTGTTTCGAAGTCTTTCCGCCTGCGCAGTACACAGCGAATGTCTTAAAAGTGGCAAATCCCGGGAAGCAATAAGAAAGCCCCGGTGGAAGAAACCTACCATTGATTCAATACTTACACTGAGGAGGTAAACTTTCAATGGCAGAAGCAAGAGCCTCGTGGACAGTGACAGTTTGTTGCAGGGTACCCTGCGCACTGGCTAATGCATCCATCGCTGACAATCCTGTAGCCGGAATCGGCACCTTCACTTTCGTGGGCTGATATTCTCGAGTAGTATCGCTACTTGATCTTTGCTCCTTCACGGACAACGGTGGATTATTCTGTGAATTAATCTGGAACAATTATCAATTTTCCAACTACGAGGAAAAGCAAAGACAAACCCTAGCGATGGCATCCGTGTGAAGCTGAGCGACTGCTCGCAGCCGCTGAATCCAATTCTGCCTTTCCTTTACTGAGGTTCGAAGTTTGAACGGATCACCATCAACCGGTATAACTGTGAAGGTCTGATCATCTTCATCGGTTGGGGAAATCACGGCTCCACCCAACATCATAACCCTTCTTGGAGGAACCTTGGAATCCGGGGGCGGCTGCAAAATCAGGATAGCACAACATTTTATAAATGTGAAAGGAACACAAATAATTGAGAAAATTGATGCATATTCAACATGAACGAGATATTGAAGAACTTGCTCTCTCAACCTAAGGGAACGGTAGCCAGTCTCACCATTTCAATGTAGTATTCCAAACATCCCCGTTCAGGATCCAACGAGAACCATCTATATTGCCATCCCTTGACAACATTCGTGAATTTAAGCATGTTCCCCTGAACTCGAAGATCCTGCGGTGTCATGGTAATTTCGCGTCCACTTGGATTTTCCACACACCACACTCAAAAATAGTAATTTAATCTTCCAAAACCCTTCTGTACATTCTGAAATGGATCCTCTGACGGAGAAGAAACCGATCATAAGAATTCGGTCAATCTCAAGAACATAAAATAAAAAGGCGGTACACCAGAATCACATACTTGTTGCTCTTCGAAGAATAAGCGGTGATACAAAAAGAACACTGATGCCTGAATGACTAGATGTCCACGCGGAACGATTCCTTCAATAGCGCAAAAATCTTGAAAGACTAACAAGAACTTCAGAAGATAGTACCTCACGGATCCAGTGCGAAGTTCCACAAAAATCACAGGGTTCACATGCAAAACACTTTTCTGGACGGGTTTCTTCCGCGATCATGGCATCCCGTATTTTTCTTGCACATACATTCTTGAACAATATTGTGCACCCCACGTACAAATATGCATGAAAAATAAAAATACTGGTTTGAATGAGCCTGTGAGATCATCAATTCGTGTAGGAAAAGTTTTCAGAACACTTCTTTCAGCTGCTCATACTCATGTCCGCAAAGCAGAAAAAGGCGTCCGCTCGTTTCATTGCGACTGTATTATCTTCAGCAACGAACACATGGCTGCGTTTCAGGCGATTGGCCATCTGAATAACAGTATTGCATGAAATTGCATGTAACAGAACCCAAAAAAGAGAGCCATGAAAATCAGAATTTTAAATTTACCCGTGTCAAGGTAATGACGACATCCACACCGCAAAAATGCAACCCAATCACAGGACCACCAGCACAAACATTTGCGTAGATTTTTGTATTGAATATCCTCTCCGCGTCCGATTCCGTGATCATCATTGACTTTGATCGTACGAGAAGAATATCCTGTACAACAACCACAATAGGTACAGAGAAAAACAAGAACTCTCACGCAAGATGTCACCTTATGAGAATCTCGTATTGCACTCAAGACCTTCCTTGCATCTGAAACGTGTTCAGGATACGAGAACAAACAAATGAATCCTGCTCCGTCATGACGCATTCCACGATCGCCGTGCGAAAGAGGAATGATGCTTGTTTCTTCTTCAGAAGACACCTCCAGCCTATTGATTAGAAATCAAAATCATAAGTAGTTTCTAGTTTGCAACCGTAGCACTGAAAAAAAAGCATACTCGACGTATTCGATTCCCAGCTTCTCTCTACCGTTCAAAAATACATCTGGTTTTTCTGTTGAAGGCATCAAGTCCCAGTTTGAAACAGCATCATCCGGGGTGAAATCATGCACATTCCACCACTGATTGTTGAAGAAATTCAAACCGGCTTTCGAAAATTGTTCTGAGCAGCAAAAAAAGAAAATAAAAAAATGGTCGAAGGTTTAAAGATAGGGAGCTATAAGTCAATGCACTGACCAGGTAAGCCATTGTAGAAGTACTGATAACAGCCAAAACGAACATTTTTTGATGATTCGATGATCGGTTGCGTAGCACAGTGCAGCATGATATCGAGACATGAACAATCCCTCATTCGAAATTGGCCGCATGCCACGATCACAGTGCATTCCAGACACCCTCGAATGAATATACTGAAATGAAAAATCAACATTTTTAAAGCGATTCTTTTGTCGCAAGCGTCAACGCTAACCTCGAAGCCACAGGACCTACGAAGATCTTACAGCGCCTGCAATCGTCAATAGTGATGCTGCCGATACAGTCGAACAACAAAATCATGGAATCTGTACAATTTTGAACGATGAACTGCTGACCGTCAATTGATCCAGGAAGCTTCCCCACAACATCTTGACAAACGGAATCGAAAGTGTATTCTGCCGGATCCAGTTTCGGACGGGTTTCCCTGTAAGAGTTGATACAAGTATGGAAGAAAATATGAATAAAGCAGTCACGTTTTTACACTTTTTTGAATGAAATATATTACCAAGAATACTTGGCAGGCTTTTTAGCAGACATTTCTAGCGCAGAAGCGTTGGAATGTCCAGTCAGGAAAGAAAGAACTCGGGAAATGCGACATCCCATCACATTAACTGGATGGAAAAAATTCATGCACGCTACAGAAGATGGTCCGCACAATTCACGTCCACTCAAATCGATTGAGCACGTACTCAGTAGACCGTAAGTGTTACTCAAATTGCACCGCTGATTCACGGAAATTACGGAAAACCTCACTAGCACTTTCAGGGGCGCGCCCATGTTTTTACTCCTTGCTGCCCTGTATCCTTCAAATGTTCTCCTACTCTTCTCTGCTGACAGGTGGACGGACTTCTCCCCGGAGCTCACATGTGAGCTGCCGAATTTACCCTGTTCCCCCTTCCCCCTGCCTCACTCCCTGAACCCATCACTCTCTCTATGAAGAAAAATCATGAGAGACTTCAGAAGGCCTGTTTGAATAGGTATAAACAGTGTAGTAGGAGAAGTACTATCAACT